TTTTAAAATAACATATTTACAAATAACATCAATCTTAATCATAAAATTAGGATAATATATATTTGTTTTTTTAATTCCAAAAAATTAGAAAATATATAGCAGCTTTTTACATGAGAATAATTACTTATAGGTTACCAAAATGGCGTCCCCAGCTGATTTGTATTGATGTACACTTTTAATGAATGAATCGTCAGTCTAGGTATTATTATATGTCATTGACTTGAAACTATATTAATCTTAAAAAAAGTTGACATCAAATAGAAAAAAATGCGAAAATTACCATTGGCTTTTCAACAAATATGAATCGATTGGTGATATCAACGGATTGAATAATTTATATCTATATCAATAATAAAATTTACAGCTTACTACAATCAACTAATTTGTTTTTAAAATTTTGTAACATCAATATTTTTACAATTATACCAAAATCAACACATTTTAATATGTTGATTTTTAGTAAAAAATTTTGTTACACTTATTTTATTTAGTTTACATCATTAAAATGAACTGTTGCGCTAAAAAGGGAAACTGAATTTTGCTGGTCCAAATATATGATGAAAAAGTAATCGGATTATTATTTTAGTATATTATGTTCATTAGCAACTTATCTTTTTCTGCAAATGTTAAATATATTATGCATATGCAAGTTGATAATGTTGGAGTATATTGTTTATTGTCCTTACCAGTGAATCAATATCACAGAAATATTTAAAATTCTTTGAATTTACCGTTTTAAAGTATATATATTGATTTTTATTTATGCCTAGTTTTTATAAATAAAAAAAGTTGCTTTTATCTAAATTTCTATTAGTCTATAATCACCTGACATGCCAGATATTTTTGGACATCTACCCCCTATTTTCCCCAATTCTCCTAAATAATTAAACTGAAGAATATCATTATACTCTCGTGTCACGCTCTTTAATTTTTTATCTCAAACACAATGCCACTCAGCAACTCTCCAATCTTCGTTCCTTAGTATAGGATAAAACTGGCCACGAATGTTTTCGATCAGTAAATTAAATCAATTTCTTTAAACAAATGACAAATATCGCTATGCAGTGCCAGTGTCTGCATGATAGAAAATATCATGGGGTCAAATTTCACTTCCTAAAAAATTTCGCCACTCTGAGCTATTAATTGGTGAGTTTTTAATTGCAATGACCAAATTATCAGACTCCTAGAGAACATTATTTATTAATATTAACATTTACAGAAGTTAAGATAATTGCTATTATATATATATATTAATCAGGGTATCACATAAAGAATAGTTATTGATCTTATAGCATAATTGTGTTTGGAGGTATAATGATATAAATTTTATTTAAAAAAAATATCTCTGTTTCCCAAGGAACATTTTATTTTTAAATTTATATGTTTGGCTAAGAACTTTTTATTTTAAATGACTATGATTGTATGCGATATATAGAGTTTGTCGATGTTTAGTAATCTATGTATATTAGAATAGGTTTATAATTCAATTATTAAATAAATTTTTACAGCAATATATTTTGCTATTTCTTTTAAAATCGTAATTGAAAATCCCCCAATAAATTTAACGCATTAGATTCTTGCCCGCCTTCTATTTGGAAGCAAACTGCCTCTTCCCCCGCTCTAGTAGAGGTAGGCAGTAGTTAGGCGCATTTATGGCCCAACCTTATAATTGTCAAATGTTTTATTACTCGTTTTCCAAAGCTAAACACCAACTTCATTTCTTGTTTAGCAAATATATAAATAACACATGATAAAATCAAATAAATCATAAGTACATACTACAATCATTGTCGCAAATATATTATTTGTTAATAAATGTGTAGTTATTACATTTTTTTCCAGCTATTTAACAGATCATGATTATTATGCGAGGGAGCGAAAATATTAACGCAGGTACAATCCTATTACATTCGCCTACCATTATCCCTTGGTATAATGAATCCGACAGGTTGTTATCTAGTATCAGCAGTGTTGTAGTCCTAAAATTTGCCACGGGGGCACGCTATTACTCTTAAAAAGCAATATAAGGCACACTAAAATTGGCAAAAAATATAGATAAATTTTCGTTTTTCCAAGAATTTGAGGCAAATTTTTTTTGAAAATTTTTATTAATTTATTAATAGTTTATGTGGAAGCATTTCATATAAAATTTATATATTATATCAAATAGCTATTTAGAAAGTTGTATAAAAATAAATATCAAATATATATAATATTGCATAAAAAATGATGTAATTTTTTAGAATGTATATCATAATTATATAAAACTAGCTATATAGCCTTTAAGAATGACGGGAATGAGAATTTTCTACTAAATTTGATAATGATAATACCTTTCATTTGATACCCATATCAAGGTTTTATCCCTCCCTCCCCATTCCTCACTCCCAGAGTCCAATTTATTAAGACCAAGAATGATTACTTTCAGTCAAATGGTAATTAAATTAGTATTTATTACCAGATCGATATTTTATGTTGATTAAAATATTACTTCCCCCCCCCCTCTATAGAGACTTGATTAAAGAGAGAGTTTGACATGTTGGATAGAAATTTTGATGAGCGATCGATTGATATCTATCAAGGATGGATATAATTATTCAAAAGTTATAATTTAAATTACTTACAAAATTTTGTAACTAATTATAATTACTAATTCCTCTTTAAAAAGAGTAATTAATTAATTTTCTAATAAATTTATAATTATAGTATTAAAATGAAGTTTGGAAATTATTAAAAATAACCAGAAACTTTATTTAATAGCATATAATATATTAATATTTTATTCTTTATAACAATTTTTTATTTTTCAAAAATAAAAAGGTTTCTCATTTAATATAAATACAATATCATAAGCAGGGTAGCCAAATTTTCAAATTGCAGGAAAAATTTGGTATTTTGCGGGTGAAATATTAAAATTGCGGTAGAAATATAAAAATTGCTAAATAAAAAAGACCGGGATTGTAAATTAGCTTAGTTATCCCCCTATTAATTCTTATAATTACTTTATATAAATATTATCAAAGTCGGTAACGTTTTATAATTTCAAAATAGATAATTTTCAAAATAGTTAATGTTTTATACTTAGTTTTAATTTCTACTTCTTTGTAGTGGAGTGACTTTATTTATATTGTATATATTAAACAGGATGGGTGATAATTAAGCGACTAGCCCTATAATGTTATACACAAACACACATTAAAATTATAAAATATGAATGAAGGATGTTGATTTATTAATGGATAAAAATAAAGCATATGATTAAAGTAAGGATTGAAAGAAATTTACAAATAGCCATGTTTTTTGAATAAATATTTATAATTTATTTTAAAAATATAAAAATAATCAATAACTGTTTCTCAAAATGATTATTTATATATCAAAAACGTTAAAATTCTAAAAAAAAATGGTGTGGGAGAAATTAAATAATTGCGGTAGATTTTTGCGGGAATATCTGAGTGCAGCGTCTACATGGGCGGGAGGGTAGGAACCGTTTGCATCCTATTTTTTTGAGAGGGTAGGGGGTAAGCTGCTTTAATGGGGGTAGGAGAAAATTTTTTTGGGGGTTATTAAATTTTGAGATGAAATAAGACAAAGTTTATTGCTGTAAAAATTAATACTTTTATTATAGTATTATTATGATACAATTCATCGACCAAATCTATATATTGCAAACAATCATACACATTATTTTCCAAATCTTTTAAATATAATTTAAAAGGTTTAGATATTTCAGCAAGCTCATAATGCCATAATAATTAATTCATTGTAAATAATGGAGGTTTTAATTAAATTTATTATCTAAAAATAAATACTTTATATTCACAAAATATCGATAGTTTAGTAGATATAGATTAATTTAAGTTATCCTTTATAAATTATTTGAAAAGAGTATCAATAAATAAATAGGTGAAATAATGATAAAGTGACATCTCCGCCGAAGGCGGCGGAGATTTTTTAGGGAGGTAAGTAAAGGTTTTTGAAGGGGGTTTGTAACCAGTGAAAATCCTGTCATGTAAACGCTGTCTGTGTAAACTAAAAAATTGCTGGAGTCTCCCGCTGATGGGGGGAGACCTGAAAACCCTGATCATAAGATATCGGTATATAAATTATTATAAACATTATATTATGCTAAGGAATGCAATCAAATTCTGTTTCACAAGATAGAATATCATTTATGATGACTAAATACAATTATGGCCAGTGTCCAAATGAGCGGGGGGTGGGTAGAAACAGTTTGTTTCCTTGAGGGGATAGGGGGTAGGCACCTCTATGGGGAATAGGATAAATTTATTGGAGTAAAATATATTGATATAAAAATTAATACTTTTATTATAAAAAATTTATTTCAAAGATATTATCATCGACCAAATCTATATATCGCAAACAATCATAGACATTATTTTCCAAATAAAACTTTCTGCTATCCTTTTAAATTATTTTCAACAAACTCATAATGCTATAATAGGTCCAAGCATTTCTGCCATCTATGAGTAAAAGGCTTACATAACATTATTTTGGCGTAAATCTTAATCAGATCGTTTTTAAAAATCGGCCCGAATCAGGCTCTCCTGCTCCCATGTTTTGAAAATATGGCTCCATGTGTTAATGAAAATATGTAGGAGTGCCTGGAGAGCTACTTTGGGAGCAGGACATTTTAAGAATACTATTTATAAGCTATAAATTAATTTTGTATATCTTAATTATAACCTGTGTTTAAAATTTGGTTATATACGGGTCGATTACTTATTTGATAATATATTACTATTAGTGCTGTTTACTATTCAAAATAATGAAATACATTTTACGAATCTTGATAAAAATTAAGGAAATATTTATAATATTATATCGTTAAATGCATTCTTTCTAAAATATACAATAATTTTAATTGTATGAATATATTTAATCATTTAATATTTTATTATAAATTCTTTAAACTTGCTATTTATTTGATTTCAAAGTCATATAGCAAAAATAATATATAAATTTTTATAAAATTGTTTTTCCTAGGAGTATCTTTTGAAAACATGTGAAATTTGAATGTTTAAATTTTAAATTTTATTTTATCATGTTTTCTAAATAAGGGTATCACGTATTCTAAATATGGCAGAAGATGGTAAATTTAATTTTGGTTAATAAACTCATATAAATCATGGGTACTCATATTTTTTTTTATATTACATAATATATAAATTTTGTTTCAAGATCTTAGTATATAAATGTTTACATAATATATATATACTTTTTATAATTTTAATTTAAATAATCATAGATGAAAAAGAAAAACTTATTAATATGGTAAAGAAACAGGTAACATTAGCATTGCAATATTCATTCTAGTTAAACCTTTCCAAAATTTAAGGTAAAATTGTTGATGGAAGAAGCTGTGGCCAAAAAAATTATTTATGAAGATAGCAGTTCTGTTTTGGCTTTATGTGGTAAAATCTTTTTATTATAATATATTGATTCATTCTTCCTTTTTTTTAAAGGGTGCCCATAGCCTAGAGAGGCTCAGCTTGCCCCACAACAAAATTTTTTATTTTTTAATATTTATGAGATTAAATAGCATAATTTTTTTGCAATAATTCAAATAATATTGGAAAATAAAGTTTTATAATTTAAAGGATTTGGAGTGCAATATATTGCAAATGTTATATGCATTACATAATAACTCGTTATACTAATATTGCAATTTTTGGGAGAATAATAACAACAATCCTTTAGTCATTAAAACAAAGTTAAAATAGGTAATTTGTATACATTTAATTATAATTTTAGTGCCCTTTCACTATAAACAAAAAAAAGTATTATCAATATAGTTTTTGCAATTTAAAAAAAAACATTTAACTAGTCCAGCTACATAAATATTGAGTCATTCTTGATTGGTTATAATAATGTTTTTTAAATATAAATTATATGTTAGCCTTAGCATAAATGTGTTTTTTCAGTCAGCATTATTTTTCAACTTTAAATCATTTTTTGAGCTCATTTAAAAAATTTAATTTTTCAGAAACGTATTCCAGCATGTTTAAAACTGGGATGTGAACCCTTCGATAAAAAAAAAATCCAGGTCTGGGTACAGGAATAAAATTTAAAAATTACTCGGGCCCAGAGTTTGGATCCGGGTTCAGGGAACATAAAAATAATGACTCATTTTTTTTCATTTATTTATTATTGTACTTCAATATATACACATTCATAATTTACAAATGAAAAATTTTAAATGTTTTATTCAGTCGCACGATCATAATATCTTCTAAAATCTCATCCTTGAGATTTCCACGTAAATTAGATAAGACAATATATATTTCAAAGATGAAAATCCATGTTCTACGCTTAACTAAAATAGATACTTATCTTTATAATACATAAATTATTGTACTTGTGTGGCTGGTACAGCCATGATGAATAGGCAAAATATATATTTCTGGATATATTGAAGAATTTTCTTCCCAGAATTTTAAAATATTTTTATCCTTATTTATTCTCTTAACTACTGACAACTTTTCTATTAAAGATACAATAGGCATTTTTTTGATCCTCCTTTCCCTCTGATGATAATTTGATTTTCTTTTCTCCATCTAAAAGTAAATTTCAAGATCATCAATGTTGCTATCATTATTATTATTATCACTACAACCAGTAGGTATTATTGCACTACAAAATAATTCATTTTAAAAATAATCAACATATTTCTCTAATACAGCATATTAATAAATTTACATAATAAAATATTATTCTAGAAAATAATTTATGATATCAATCTCTAAATAAAATGGAAGTCCAGGAAGAAAATTGAAAGAAAATCGCGAAGATAAAATAAATGTTTCCACAAAAAAAAGTTGTTAAAATTTATATTATTTTTTATTTTTAAAATTTTTTATGACAACTAGAACCCTTGGACCCTTCACTTTTAAAAGGGTCCAGGTCTGGATTCTGGTACAGCCAAAATATGAAGGTTTAGGTTCACATTCCTGGTTTAAAACATCTGCCTTATATTTTAACTTCAAAAGTAAAATATTCCAAAAATCCCAGAGAAAGCAAAAAAATATTTAAATTTAGAAAACATGCCTAAAAAATTATTTAAAGTTGGAAAAGTAACATACAACACTCACACTAATATATAATGTTAAAAGGATCATCTTTAACATATGAGATGTTAAAAGAAAAGCAACATGCTTTAAGTAAAATTATTTGTCATTTTGTGTTATACAAATTTTAAAATATTTTTTAAGAAGGTAGATATGGAAAGTTTAGAACTAGAGTATTGAACCCTCACAACTAGAACCTGGAACCCTCTTAAAATTTATAGGCATCAGAACTGGAATTAGCATATATTTTAAATTTTTCATAACCATTTGAAATAAAAATGCAAATGGTTTATATATATATAATATTGTTTAAAATCGTGTATGATTTATTTCTGAAGATTTATTTGTTCTTTAATTTTTTTTCATTGCTTTAGCAGGGTTTTGAACCAAATTCTAGAACATAATTGTATTAAATTTAGGAACCTGATTCACATTTTTAAAATTATTCAGAAAAGGAACTAGTGTATGTTGCAAAAGTACCCCATTTAAAAATAATTTGTTCTTTTATCTGAAACCAACTTCGGAAATATGATAGGGTTAGTATATAATAACAAATAGTTTAATTTGATCATTGTTTAATAAATTTATATGTACTGTACACCAAGCCGCATTAGCATTAGAGGAGTTTTTGCTCAAATAATTTATGCAACATAACCTGTCAAATGAGGTATTATTTAAGACAACAAATTATTTGGGCATCTTTTATAATAATAAATGGGAATATTAATTATTTTAGATAGTATAAAAGTAATTTAGTAGTATTTTTGGCAAGTTATTAATGAATTAAGTTTTTTATTGCCTTGGGCAATATTTTAAAATGAATGGACAGTTTTAATAATAACTTATTATATGGAAATTTTTGGCCAGTTATTAATTAATTTTTAATGACTTTTAGGAAGTTTTAAATAATTTTGATGTAAATTTTTACATCAAAATATTCGAAGGGTTTGACTAAACTACATTTACCTTAGTAAACTGCTAATTCCTATGTAAAAATACTGTGTAAATTGCAAATGCCTAGACAAAAATATTTAGGTAAACTGTAAATTCTGCAGGTAAAATCTATTTAATTAAATTCTGCGTTATTTTCTTATAATATAAACAAGTCAGTATACTTGGTACTTAATACTAATTCTGCAAAGGTTTCCTATTTTATTTTATTTTAATTTTTTTTTTACTTTAAAATGATTGGACGAGTTTAGGGATGGAGTTGGGTATGGTTAAAGTTAAAGGGGTCGCCAGGTAACTTTAATAAATGGTTAAATAAAATTGGTCTTTGTTTAGTAATTTGTACCCGATTCAGCAGATTATAATCGGGGTTTTGGACAAATTTTCAATAAAATGTTTTACAGATAAATATACATTTAAAATACTAAACACCCAGACCCACAAATAAATTTAAAAAAGACATTTAAATACAAATTTTCACGAAAATTTTTTAGAATTAATTTTTATAGTTCCAAGAACAATTTTATTCTAAAGGGTTAACCATTAAAATTTTAAATAATAATATCATATCGAAAAATATGCATTTATTATAGAATTTTATCACAGACATAGAATTTTAAATATAATAGAGCAAACATAAAACTTATTATAAATAATTTATTTCCTTTTACTTTCATATTAATTTAGCAAGATATTTGAAAGTACCCTTCATTTAATATGGCAAAATTAAATTTAGGAGGTGTGGGGGTTTTATCAGATATTCTGCTAAAAATATCATATAAATATGATAATATTTATTTCGTAGAATCCATATATAGTTCCATATCTTCTTCAAATAAAATTATTTCTTAAGTTTAATTTTCAGTAAATATAAACGTTGCACATTTTAATAAAATAGAATTAAATAGATAGGATCTTGATTCTTTTCTTTAACTCGGATCACAAACTTAATATTTATCGAATAAAATTTGGGATTTTATATTTATAATTAATAGTAAAAATATAAAAATATTTGTATTTATTTAAAATTGTAATAAATACAAAATACTTTTTATTTTTTGGTATTTAAAATACATATACTAAATACTATGTAAATTATTCAAATATATGCTAAATATAAATCAAAAATGGTTTCTGTATGTTAAATATAAATATCTGCAATAATTCGCAACCATAGGCGTATCTAGGATTTTGCTACGGGGGAGGGGGCTATTAGATGTATTTTTTCCCTGTGAATTTTATTGGAGATTTTTAGATCCACGTATTTATGCCTTTGGCTATATTAGTTTATAAAAATATTTTTGGGTTTTCACTTTTTTTATTATTAAAATCATTTTTTTAAAAAAATTAGAATTATAATTGTTTTAAAAAGTTAATAACTTTTACTAATTTTCCTTTCATTCCTTTCATTCCTTATAATGATATATTGTATACATTTTTTGAGGAGAGGAGGGTGTGTAGGGGGAAAAATTTAATTAGCTTAAAACAATATTTACGGAACAGGCAAATTGGCGATGAGGGGTTAAATTTCCTCTTATTGGTTATACACTTTTCCCAACCCTGACGCAGTGGCGTAACTAGCCTTTACAATTACAGGGTTCCAAAGTTTTTTTAATTAGATTTTTAAAATGATCTCCTTTTAGCTAACATTTTCAAGGGGGGCTCTTTAAACTTTTTAAGGGTGTACCACCTCTCCACCTAGTGACGCTATTGCATGATTGTAATAAACTTTTAATGTTTTTAGACTTAGTAATCTTAAACATTTAGCGTTTTATATATTATAAAAAATAATTGATGTCACCTTGCTGATTAAATACAATAATATAATATTTTATCTCAAGTGTTGTGAAAATTTGATGTAAAACATTTCCATAATTTTTATTTTTGTTTGCAAATAAAATTATCTTGCAAAATTTCCTAAGAATACATAAAAAGTATTCTATTTTTTAATACAAAAGGATGTAAACCAAAGTTTTTTAAAAATTTCTGAACATAATAAAATAAGAAAGGAAAAGTAATTATTTAAACTTAAACATCATGTTTAAACATTTAAAAAAATATTTTCTTAAGTTTATAATTTGTGTTATTTTTTCAATAAAAATTTGTTTAATATTGATTCTTTTTTCTTTACCATCATGTTAAATGTTCAAAAATATATTAATTTCTAATTTAGAGTCAAAACATCTACAAAATTTTGGATAATAAAATGACAAAAATCCTTTTAAGATTAATTACTTTGCCTATTATTTTGTGAATATGTTCCGGAATTCACCATCCTTTGTTTTGTCTAATCTATAATTTAATTTGTTGTCATAAGAGAAAAAAAAGCATATCTTAGTCTTAGTATTTGTATTATTTGGGGCATTTTTTTAAAACCTGTTTTTCAGTTAATTCTTACT